CCCCTTGCCAGCTACGCCTCAGCCGGCGCAGGGGGCGGCACCACGCATGCGTGGCGCTCCCGGGCAGGGAAAGTCCTTGACTTACGACCGGTTGGGTAGTCCTCGACTTACAACCAGTTGGGTAGTCCTCGACTTACGACTGGTTGGGTAGTCCTCAACTTGTGACCGGTTGGGGTCGCGGCATTAAAAAGGTTGAGAACCACTGTACTATATTATGCAAATCCCTCCAATGAATAGGTAATGTGGGTTTGCACAATATGTTACATTAGTTTAAAATGGGTTATGTAGTTGTTATTTCTTAAAGGATACAAGTACATTTCTAAATATACTAGCCTGTGTGTATCTGCATGTGGGTATTTGAGACTGTTAGTTGTTCTTTAGTAGGAAGTTGGTGAATGATGTTGATGCTGGAGTGGTACAAGTCTCTCTTTTCGCTTGGTGTAATTATTAATACAGAAAGCAATCACTTGTTTCTAAAATCATACAAACTAGTCAATAACACTTTTTAGATGTTATGTATCACTAATTAGCAAAAAATAATTTGAAATTAAAACAAAAGGATGTTGTAATGTGTTTCCTTGAAGGAGAGACAGAAGAGAATTATTTTAGAGAACAGTCTGCCTGACTAGGAAAGCCTTATAGCTAATAAGGCTATCTCTCCATAAAGAAGTCAAACCAGGGCAAGAGGCTCTGATGGGCATGACTGAATCTGCCAGATCAGTTCAGCAGCCTCTAATCTATTATAGCATGGAGCATAAATCTGCCTCTTCAGAAGGCTCCAAGCTTCTCAGCTCTGTTTTGCTTTCCCTTGCTTTTTGCTTCAATTTGAATATTTTACATACAGTAATTGAAAAGGCTTTGTGATGCTTCTTTCTAAATATATGCTGCACATAAGAGACAGAACTTAAATATAACCAGATTTTTAATATAATTACACATATGAAAAGGGAGAGCAAACACAGAAACATATAATGCGATTTCTAATGCTCTAGTAATCTTATATATAACAGGCTAAGCCATGCAACCACACTCATCCAAACAGAGCCATCATATTTGGATTGCAAAAATCAGACAAACCCTAATTTAACTCTTTATAGCCCTCTGGTGAACATCCCTGCTTTTGCAACCCAGATACAGTGGTAACCAGCGAGTATATATGGCAGGTTACATTAGTATATTGTATAGTTCTGCAGGAGAAAACAAATTTCTCTGTAAGACAGCATTCCATAGTCTTAATCAAATCCAAAGTGGGAAAAAAAGAAAACATGGACCCTCTACAGACCTATCTGTGCCTAAAACCTGAATCCCGAACTGGTTTTATGAAATCTTCAGTCACTAATAGATCAGGGATGGACTTAGAAAAGAGATATTTGGAGGGAAGAAAAATATTTCTTGCGTGCACAAATTGTTACAAAACCAATATTCTGTCAGAAGCAGAAATTATGGAACTTGATCACTCACCCTTTCACAATACACTGTCCTATCCCAGAACAAACTATTGCAAATCAAAACTACTACTCTTGACAGAAAGTAGAAAAATATATCCTAAATCCAACATCCTAATAAAGTGCCTTCTCCACTTGATAGAAACACAAAGAAAGATGAAGCTACTAGGGTTTTCCCTTGCGCAAAGGATAAAAATAATAGAATTCTGAACTTAGTTCATCCTAAGCCAAAGCACTCAACAGGTTGCCTTTTGTTTAGTGTTAGTTTATCAAACTCTCGAAGAATTAAACAAAAAAACAAAACAAAAATCGCTATGAAGAATTGTTCTTTGGCTACTCAAAATGAATCTGAGGAAGATCAAAGCTAGTTTATTTTCCCAACTCAAGCCGTTTATTTGATTGTCATAACTCAATGCTCATACTATGGAAAAACTATTCTAGACCTCATCACCATGGAGTAGCTCAGAGCAATCCAAGACAAGCTATGCTACCCTACTGTCTCAAACTGGGGAGATTCATCTGCATTAGTTGCACAGTCCTGATGTCAATACTGCAATGACAAATAATTTATTTTGCAATCTGGAAACCTACCCAATTCAAACTATGCTATATAATATCATATTATATGCATTGGATTGGGATGATTCACAAATTGGGCTGTTTGGTTCAATGCAAGATGCCTCTGAAGAAGCCTAAATCTGAAATTTTCAGAAGATGTTTTTTTACCAATTTAGGATTGAAAAGACTGCAGGGATAAAAAAAAATGGATACATTTCTTCTTGATACCTCCATAAGAGAAAAAAAAAATCTTCCAGGTAGGAAAGAGAAGAGATGCAATCCTTTAACTGGCAGCTCCAGTTTCCAATCCCAGGAAAGGGTTTGCCAAAGCTTTACAACTGCAGGTCTTCCAGAGAAAGGATATTCACTTTGTTTCATTAATATACAGTAATGCAGGCATATTCCAGTCAGCACTGCCTGCTAATAAATTATTTTAGGGACGAGGAGATTGATAAAACCTGAGGAGAGGGTAATGGTAGTCAAAAGAGTCAAGACTGCAGCCATGACCATGCAATCAAAGTCCTGAGTCCCCTAGCACAGGGCTTTTCAACCAGTGGTATGGGTACCACCTGTGGTACATTGGCACCTGGCAGGTGGTACGCAACCATCCTAGAAAAGGGGTAGCAGGGGCGGGGAATGAGCTGAACCGGTGGCAGCACCACACAAGCCTGAGCGAGAGATGTCTGGAGCTGCAGGGCTGTCAGGGCTCGGTGGAAGCACCAGGATCAGCGCCAGGCTCCAGCTGGAGCTCAGCGCTGATCCTGGTGCTTCTGCTGAGCCCTGAAGAAGCACCGATTAGCTGGAAAGCAGCACTGATCCTGGTGCTTCTGCTGAGCCCAGAAGAACCGCCGATCAGCTTGAATGTTGCAGCATCTTGTGTTGCAGCATCTTGTGATTTACATTCAGATGCTTGGCAACTGATTCATATTTATGAGGGTCACAGTGTCCCAGGTTCATGTGAAGTGACCAAAACCTGCTGCAACCACCCAGCATACGGGGGGAATAAAAACCAAACACCCCCCCCACCCCACCTGTTGCCAATCCTCAACAGAAATGCTCACAACAATGAAAACCTCAGACAGGAGAAAGAGTGCCGCCGGGCGGGCAGGCAGATGTCTTGCTCGGCTGTGGCTTGGGGGCACTTTTTTCAGTGCCATTGTAACTTCAAACAGTCACTAAGCGAACAGTTGTAAGTTGAGGACTACCTGTACTTTATAACACTTTTTTCCTTTTGGGGGGGGTCAAGTTTTTGACACCTTGCTAGGCGACTGGTGGTATTCGGATACTGCTATATCCTAAAAGTGGTACAATAGGTGAAAAGATTGAAAAGCCCTGCCCTAGCAGACATCCCAGCCTAGAAGGGTTTATAATAGGGGTCTAGATATCGTTTCTGCTTCATTGCCCTTCCTGTAACTTTGGTGATAACTGAACAAACCATAATCCTTTCTTGACCTATTTGTTACACTTCAAAGTACTCTAGTCCCTGCACCTATCCTTTAAAGTTTTGTAGATTTCTTGCAATCATGATAATACAAATTGCTATCCCATGAGTAGTAAAAACATGGGTGAATTAGGTTCCTGCCATAAATCTAAAAACCTCCTTCCCCACTTCCCCCAATCATGTTACCTTAAAGCTTTAGGTAGAGATAGTTTTGTGCCATATATCTCAGCAGACAAACATGTACAGAGATGAGGTAACTGAGCAGAGAGAAAGGGGGTGGGTGGAAGAGAAGTCTTGTTCAGGTGTCACTAAAAGGCTTCATCTCACTTTACAAATAGCTCCTCCTCAGGAACTGCTTGCAAACATTTGCTCCTCCTTTATTGTGCTGTAATCAGCAAATGCAAGACCTCTCCCTCTCAGGGGGAAGAGAACTCATCTGCTTATTGGCTTACAAAGTAGTAGCAGAGTTCCAAATTGGACTCCTCCATAGATGAAGGAACTTTGTGAAAACATACTACTAGCTTCCCATGCTGGCTGAGGAGGGTTGACGAAAAAATGTTTACCTCTGGAACTGGTGGTTAGATCATTGCCATGGGACCCAAGGGTTGGGCTCTGTGACTTCCTTGTGTATTAATTTCCTGGGGATCTTCTCAGTAGTGGGATTCAGCCAGTTCCCACCAGTTTAGCAGAACCGGTAACTAATTTTTTGTTGCCCAGGCCCAGAATGGACTTCCGGACCCGGCATCCACACAGAGAACCGGTTGTTTACATATTTGAATCCCACCACTGGATCTTCTCCTACAGTTTGAACCAGTTTTGCTTTTGTTGTTGTATTACTTAGGAATTAGCTCACCTAAAAGACAAATTCATCTCAAAAAGGATCCTGTTTATTTCGAAGAAGCTCTTAGCTCAGACCTCTGGAGAAATGACTGATGAAATGGGCAAAACTCTGCTAAAGGAAGGAATGATAATATGTTGCTAACAGATTCAGTTATCTGGGTCAAAAAACAGAACTCTCTCAAATTAATTTAGTCTAACAATCTGGATTTCAGCAAGGTTTAACTTACCAGCTGTCATGTGGAAAAAAATGATGTTTCCATGAGATTTTATTTTTTCAAAATGCTCTTATTACCCAAGAAGAAAAAAATCCTAAAAAATGTAGTAACTAGTAAGCCTGAAAGAAACTACCTGCTGGTGAAAACAAAGGCAGAATGCAGAATCATCCAAAGGGATCATTTTACAGTAAGGCAAAGCAAGAGAGACTTCCAGAAAGTCAAGGCCAAAGTCCACAAAGAAGAAAAAGAAACTTCAACCATAATTAAGGAAACCTCTGACCTTCCTCTAAGACTCCCTTTACTTTCTGTATTTACTGCACCTAAAAGAGTAACTTCACTTCCCTTTGCCTGCAAATTTTATACATTTCCCTTGCAATTTCATTCCACTTCTTACAGTACCTTCACGGATACTTTTAAAAACAAACGAAAGAGACCTCTTACTAAACTGCAGATCAGAGGAAAACACCCCATAATGCCCATAGCTGAAGGTCTAGATCTTACCTTCCAATCCTCAGGACCGACGAGAGCTTACCAAAAACATAACTTGGGCCAGCCAGAGATTCATTCAAGTTGGCTCTGTATAACATAAGCAGTTCCGCCTGTCTCTTCTGTGTTGGCTGGAGGGAAAGCCGTGCAGCCAATTACAGTAGCCAGTTTCGCAAAGTGGGAAACAAAGAGCTGTAGCCACTAACAAATGCTCCACAAATGCTACACCTGTTTTCTCCACTGAAGATCACAAGAAGACAATGGCCCTCAATGTTCTCTGAGCAGCAGACTTCCTAGATGAAATACTTTTTTTTTTTCAAAAATCATACAGCCTAGAGCAAATTGATACCAGCTGAATTAATGTTAATTGATTCACTGGCCTCACTCTCTACACACACACACATACACACACACACACACACACACACACACCACACACACACACACCCAGACACACACCCAGATATAGGTTTTCTAAAATGTGAAAATATTTGAGTGGAGCAGGAGCAAAAAAGGGCTTCTCTCATTTCCTTCAACTCTCTCCCCCTGCCTTTCACTGCTTCTCCTCCCAACAAAATATACATGAGACAGTGCTGACACAGAAAGAATGTTGGTGTGTTAGCACTCACCAATGGACTTGAAAAGAAAAAAACACTCTTTACAGTCAGCATGAAACTGATTGCACAAAGGATTTTATTGTACTGTACAATTCTCCTGTCTCACAGAATTTTCCTGGGGTACGGGGTGGGGGTTGAGGTACCTAACAAGGTATTTTTCACTTTGTAACACTCCTATGCATTTTATTCCCAACATTTCCATATTATTTTCTTCAAACACGAATGCACACATGATGCCAAGGCCAAATGGCTGCAATATCTGTCTGCCCAGCATTGGTAGTCTGGGAGCATCAGAAGTAGATGCTTGCTATCTTCCAAGTGATTTTGAACATGTCACCATCTTTGAAGTGCCACATGCAACAGTGGAACTGCTTATTAGGGCTAATAGCCATCAAGTGGCAGCAAAGAGATAGAAAATACATTAATGGCAGAGCAGAGGATATCCTTCTAAATTAGGTCTTAGTTCTGCATAAAGATGTTGAATTCTTGGACAGCTTCCGGTGGGAGGCGACGGCGATGGCGGCTAGCTTTTAGCCGTCCAGCTGGGGAAGTGTCAGAGCCGCGGAGCGCAGCGCGCATCAGCTGGCCCGCGGCTCGGAAATCCCTTCCCGGGCAAAGGGAAGGGATAGAGAACGCAAGAGTAGAGGTAGAACCCCTGAACCCCCTCTGGATTTATTTCTAGAGGGGGTGAAAGGAGTGTTCCCTCGGAGCTCTTGCTGATCTCCGCCTCCCAGCTGTTTTTGCTTCCTTGGAAGCAAAAGAAACCGCCGCTTCTATCTCCGTGTTTACAGCATTTTGGTGAGTAATTTTTAAACGGACGGAGCAGTTTAAAGGATTTTTTGTTATATTTTAGGTGTTTATTTTTTTTATCTTTTGATTTTTACTATTTTTCCTCCTTTTCTTTGTTATACTAGTGAAAGGACTTAAGATGGCGTTTTGAAAGTGTCGGAGTTTTTTTTTCCTTTCTCTTTTGTTTTACTTTCCCTTTTTAAGGATTGTTTTTTGCTTTTGCTTTTGCTTTTGGCTTAGAATTTTTTTTTTTGAATTGTTTGCTCTTTTACTACTTATTCTTGGGATTTATTCTGGACTTTTAATGATTATAGTTTGTCTCTTTTTAAAAATTCTTTTTTTCTTTTTTTCCTCCTCCCTTTTTGGCTGGAGGGGAAAGGGAAGTGACAATTGTGCTTTTTAAAATGGCTTCAAAGAGGCAGCAGCCTTCCTCAATACCCAAGGTTATTTCTTCTCCTATAACTTCCACTGCACAGCTACAACAACAATCTAAACATGCACCACCGGCTCAGCCACCACCCTCCCCTCCTTTACCTGGACTTTCAGTGCAAGAGGTTAGAGGTATAATGGGAGAGATTGTAGTTCAAATGAGAGAGGAAATGACTCAATTTGTTTCACAGATTAAATCAGAAATTAAATCTGATCTCAAAGAAGAGATAACGGGGATAAAGTCTAAATTGCAAGAAAATAATAATGAATTACGACAAGATATACTGGCAGCTGTTTCAGGTTTGGCTACTGTGGTGGTTAAGCTCGATGCAAGGCTTGAGGAAGTGGAAGACAAAGTTGACTCTTTAGATGACAAAATTCAAGACGTGGAAAGGAAGGTGGACTCCTCACAAGAAGATATTTTGATGTTTCAGTACAGACAGATGGAGTATGCTCTGAGGATTAGAGGCCTCAAGGAAGATATGAATCAAGATTTGATGGAGGTGGTTCTTAGTGATCTGGCGCTGGCTTTGGATATGGATAAAGGAGAATTACAGAGAGAAGTAGAAAAAATTTATAGACTCAACTCCTGGATTGCTAAGCAGAAGAATTTGCCCAGAGATGTGGTGATTTACTTTACAAAGAAGTCCCTGCGGAATGAGATTATACAAGCTTTTTACAACAAAAGATTTCAGATTGCCGCCCAAGATGTCATCATTCTAAAGGAAATCCCATCTAAAATCTTAAGAAGTAGGAAAGATTTTGCTTTTTTAACCAATGAGCTTAAAGCTAGATCGATGCCATTCAGATGGGAAATTCCGATGGGTATCGTTTTGAGCCATGCTGGGACACGTTACAGATTGAACACAGTTGACAAAGCTAGAGATTTCTATACTTCGGTCCTGAGTGCAGGCTCAACTTCATCTGGTCGGAAATCTTTGAGTGCTAAGGAACCTGAGCAGCAATCTGAGGCACTAGATTTGGTTTCCGCAGGGATGATAGAAGTGGCAAAGCAACGCCAAACGGAGGCTAAAGAGCAGAGGATGACTCGTGCAGCTTATAAGCGTAAAGAGAAAGAGCAACGTAAAAAAGAGCCCAAAGAGAATTCTCCTGGAAGTCCATCACCGCCGGTGGGAGGAGCAAGACCCAAGAGTTATGCAACACATGCAGCTCTGTCAGAGTTTGATGGTGTCTTCTCCAGGCTGCGTGCCAAGGGAGATGGCAAAGTTTTTGACCTGGAATGTTAATGGATTGAATTCTCCTCAGAAACGGAAAAAAATCTTTTATTATTTGAAGCAACATACCAATGATGTTATTTGTTTACAGGAAACTCATATTCTACTTAAAGATCAGAAATATTTAGTTAATGCTCGTTTGGGATCTCATTTTATATCTCCTGCACCTGGGAAGAAAGGGGGAGTTGTTATATATGTCAAACAAAACCTGCCAGCTTGTCTGGTAGAATCAGATCCCCAGGGGAGATATGTGATGATTGAACTTGGTATTTATGGTAAGAAAGTACTTATAGTTGGACTTTATGCTCCAAATCAACAACAGGAACAATTTTATAAACAGTTACACCAAAAAATAACTTTGCTTGACTATAGATCAGTGGTACTAATGGGTGATTGGAATGGTGTCTTAGACACACAAAGGGATAAGAAAGGTTCCTCTCCTTTTCTTAAACAAGCAAGGCTACCTAAAGCCTTTTTTGATATGAAAGAAGACTGGGAATTAAGGGACTATTGGCGGGAACGTAATCAAGAGGAGAGAGACTTTACTTTTTTTTCTGACAGACACCAATCTTTTTCAAGAATTGACTTTTTCTTGATTACCACGGATTTGTATAATAAAGTAAAGAATGTAAAGATTTTTCCTAGATCACTGACGGATCATAGTCCAGTTTGGATGGAGTTGATTCAAGAGAAAGAGGAAAGAAGATCCTGGAGAGTTAATGAAAATTTGTTTAGACAAGAGAAGAATGTTCAAAAACTAAAGGAGTGTTTAAAGGACTATTTTGCTTTGAATATGTACAAGGGGACTTCAATGTCAATGGTATGGGATGCAGGTAAAGCATTTATGCGCGGTGTTTTGATAAAAATGAATAATTTTTATAAGCGAAATCAGATTCAGAAACGTAGAGAACTTGAAGATGAAATTAAACTAAAAGAAAGGGCTTTGATTCTAAATCCTTCTGATGAAAGTACTAAAGAATCTGTAAAGTTATTAAGGTCACAATTTAATATGTTGATAGCAGATCAAGCTGCAACCAATTTATTATTTATGAAACAAAATACATTTTGTAATGCTAATAAGCCGGGGAGATGGTTGGCTTATCAATTAAGAAAGAAACAGAGACAGAGAATAATAGAGAAAATAAATTATAAGGGTAAACTAGTTTCTCAGAAGGAATTAATTAAAAAATCTTTTTTGGATTATTATCAAAACCTATACAAATCTACTAATGTACAACTGTTAGATATAAATAAATATTTAGCTGAGGCAAGTTTTCCTAAACTGACTGAGGATCAGAAATATGAAATTAATGGTTTAATCACTAAGGAGGAAATCGCCTCAGCAATTCAACAATTGAAATTAGGGAAAGCACCGGGTACGGATGGGTTAACAGCTGTTTATTATAAAGCCTTAATGGAGGAGATGATTCAACCATTAAATGATCTTTTTAATGGTATCCTACAGGGTTTAGAGATTCCTCCTTCATGGCGTAGTGCTTTTATATCATTGATTCCAAAGGAGGATCAAGATCTTACTTTACCAAAAAACTATAGGCCTATATCTCTTTTAAACGTGGATTATAAGATATTTGTAAAAATTTTGGTAAATAGGCTTATGAGGGTGGTGCATCATCTTGTGCATAAAGATCAATCAGGGTTTATAACAGGAAGGTATATGAAAAACAATGTTAGACAAATTATTAATTTACTAGAATACTTAGATAAGAACAACCAAGTTTCTGCAGGGCTCATATTTTTAGATGCTGAAAAAGCATTTGACCAACTGAATTGGCATTTTATGCTAAGAGTAATGGAAGAAATGAATTTTGGTGAAAACATATTACAAGCCCTTAAGGTAATATATCAAAAACAAACAGCACAACTTATTGTTAATGGAGGTTTGTCGGAGGTTTTCACAATAGAGAAAGGTACTAGACAGGGGTGTCCTTTATCGCCATTGTTGTTTGTTTTAACATTGGAAATATTATTGATTAAAATTCGAGAGTCTCAGGAAATTAAAGGAATATATGTTAATAAAAAAGAATATAAGTTGAGAGCTTTTGCGGATGACTTGGTTGTTACTTTGTCGCAACCTGATTATTCTGTAGTAAACTTATTACAGTTGATTCACCATTATGGTTTGGTCTCGGGTTTTAAGATTAATGTAAATAAGACTAAAATTTTACCTAAAAATATGTCGAGTCAGGAGAAGCAGATTTTGGTTAACTCGACGGGTTTTGAGATTGTTAATAAGGTAAAATATTTGGGGGTGATGCTGTCTGTTTCTAATGCAAAATTATTTAAAAACAATTATGAAAGG